GCCTTGCACGTCGCGCGTCCCATGCGAGCTGTAATTGCGCGCGTGCACACGCGCGCTATCGAACGAACAAATCGACTAAACCGAGTCTCGCGAGTCGCAAGCATACGCGTAGCGTGTCGCATCGCTGAACCAAGCGTCCACATTTACCGTGCCGTGCCGTAAAGGAACTTTATTGGCCTTTAATCGAATCTTACGTACAGCGAATGCGTCAAATACCACAATGCGTCAAATAGTCACAATTCGGTGGAGAAATGACTTTCTTTTGTATCTGGCGAGCAGCATTTCGCAAGTGGTTTTTCGGTTTTGCTGTTGTCTTTCATTCAGTCCATGTGGAACCCATTTTCCCACCTTCTGGATCTTTCCCATGGCTTTCAAACGTATGGAGACGGCTTCTCGTGTCACGTTTAATCGATCAGCGAGTTGTTGTTGCGTTTGAGCGTCATCCTCGTCCAACGATGCTTGCAATTCGCTGTCTCGAAACTTTTTCGGTGGTCTTCCACGTTCTTCGTTCCTCGCGTCAAAATTGCCACTTCCGAATGTTTTAAACCACTCAAAGTACTGTGATTTACCAAGAGCATGCTCACCGTAAGCTTCGACAAGCATTCGATGCGATTCTGCAGCAGTTTTCTTCAAATGGTAATAGAAAATCAACGCTGTCCGCTAATCGTAGTTCCCAGGCACAAAATTTGACATGTTCAACGCTATTACAAACTATGCTGTTGTATGAAACTTATATTGTTCCGAGTCGAAAATGTTTGTGAGATGTCAACAAATACTTTTGGCATCAATGACGCAGTTTAGTGATAACTACGTTATCAGCTAGGGCCATCTATACGCAAATTCCGGTTTCATACTTACAGACCTGATATGTACCTCGTAAAGTGATATTCATTTGCGAAAGTTTCCAGCTTTCGAGCAACGGCGAGTCGACGAATCGAATACCCTGCGACTTACCACCGAAACTTACTTCGGTCAAGAATTGGCAACTGTTGCATTCCGAACGATGGGGCTGAAGCCAATGAAACTCTGTGCGGTGTCGATCGAATCGCGCGGAATTTCTTTCCCATCTGGTCGCAACTGCGCGATATCGCGTCGTTCCACTCACGTTTCAACGATTTAATGCGCTTCGGTAAGAGATCAGAGCCTATCTTTGGTTAAACAGAACAAAGAGATCTACGATAAGTGAAGTTTGAAAATTAAAAAATTAGAAATTAAAATTAAATTTTGAAACGTTGATGATTATCACCGTTTGTAAATTTTCGAAAGAGCTTGATCAATTTTTTCATTCTTGTTTCTGCGTAACCGCGCAATTATTCCAATACGCTAAAAGGAAACACGTACAGCCGCACGCGGATAGCTTTAACACGACCATTTTCAGTATTTTTCAGCGTTGTTTGCGCGAAGAATGCCGCCATTAGATGCTCGTCTCACGACTTCCGCTTCCATTGACGATCGTAGGGATTACAGGCTCTTACTGTGAAAGTAGACAGCAGGGAAAATGGGATCGGCTAGGGAGACGGAGAATAGATCTCAAGAAAATAGGGACTCGCTGATCTTTGTCCGGATAAAAGAGACCGAGCGAAGCCTACACCGGACGCGTACCTAGGCGACTATCCCTTCGTGTTACATCTGCACGTGCACATAGCACGCGCCTACACGGATATACACTCCGCACGTGTACGTATGCGTTGTCACGTGTATGTACGGTATCCTGCTGTTCGAGAAGGAACATGGACCGATGTAACGATCTCGAGCGCTTTGTTCCTCAATGTCGTAATCCGAGCGCAGTTTTAACAATAACGAACAATCCAACTTACGGTTCGACATTTCAAATTTCTTCGTTTCTCTGTTTTCTTCGATACGCAACTTTTATCTTACGAGTCTCTCAACTAGATTATTCAGTGAAAGGAAAACACGTCTTGAGCTTGTAACGAGCAATCGATAAAGATAAATTACTTTGTTTAAGTCTTTACGGATACTTATGCAACGACACAATAAAAAGCGACGAGTGACTTTCAAGTAAATCACGATCGATTACGACTTAACTCGTTCTTAATTTTAATCTTACGTATTCGATCCGCGATTGGATTGATTATGCACTAGAGAGGACAGAAGGGTCGGCATTCAATGAGAGGATTTCCATCGGTTGCTTTTGTTCATAAATACAATGTAAGTCAATCGATGCATCTTAAACTATGTTCGAGCGGTCGGTGAACAGAATCAGGTAAGACCCGAGTCCACGCCATTGTAATTGCTTCCATCGGGGAGCTCTAAGCCAAAGTCAAACTGCCATTGATTAGCTTGCGGTCTCTATATGCCTATTAATGAAGACCACCGCCGTTATCGTTGGCGGCGTATTAACAACAACGGGTTCTTAGCTGCTTTGGCCAAACATATCGTCGATATAACCCTCCGTCTTTGGAAGCTGGCGACTGTTTCTCTTTCGAACGAGCATTCACGATCGTGATATCTCCTGTTATAATCGGCACGACTCGATCAGAGGATCAATCGTGTCCTGTAATCGATAGAAATCTATGGGCAAATCGGGACCGCTAGCTCCGTTTCCGCTTTTTCGTCGCACGTTCGTGTCTGTTATTTCCAAAGCAAAAAGTTTTTGCACAACGTTTATCCATTTCGTAAGATTTCCTTCGGACGGAAATTTCTTAAAAAATCACTTTTCGCCAACTTAAACGAAGCTTATATCTTTGATCGAATCAAAATACGATTAAGCTAGTTACTCGTTAGTCGTAGCTAGTTGAGAGGTAAATCGCTAATTTCTAGTTTCGCAAACAGCGTTATCATTGTTTCCTTGCAAAGTATCTGTAACGATCGGTTCCGTCAACGAGGCGTTTGGCTTTTCGTTGTTCGAAACAGGCATAAATTATAACAAACTCACAGTCCGATTTCCGAGATTTTTCACTTTGCATACTAGATGCACGGTTTTGCCCACCAGTCCGGTAAAGTTTGACTGCATCGAGGTGTCGAAATGGGGTCCCGTACCAGGAGTTGGCCATTCTTCCAGAAAGTCGGTTCGAAAATTTCTTACACATGACGCTATACCACCTGAAATACGACAATTTACCGATTAATTTCAAGCATACTTCGGACGAATGACGATCGAAACATTCGACAAGAAGAAGAAACAAATTACAAACATTAGCAAACTTCGTAATTAGTTAACATTTACACACTTATTAATAAGATATTTACATTTGTTTGAACCAAATGAAACGAGCGTTCGAATTTCGCGCGACGTACTTTAATTTTGTTGACGAGACGAATCCGAAGAAAACTAATTGACACGAGAAAACAGGTAGGAACGAAGGTTTGGTAGTGAATACGTAAACGCTAACTGGCTTACGCGAAGGTGACTGCACCTATGAGACAGAAGGCACTTTGAAAAACCGTGGTCTTTCGGTTGTGCGTTCTTTCTTTTCCTTTTTCGCGTAAACATCGTTTTAAGAGGGAAACGTTTCTTAAGTCTCGAGCGATACGGTATCTACTTGCGATAAACGTAAAATGGTTACGTTTGGAGGAATCGGAAAATGGGGAAATAACAAGCAAATCGATGATACGTATTGTTTGAGTAACAGGGGAAGGTCGATCTTTTTTCTTTTTTCTTCGAAAACGTCAAATCTATTTGTTTTTCAAGAGATTTCGAAATCGCGTTTCTCGTTTATTTTTGATTTCGTTAGTTCTCGCAATACCAACGGCTTCCATCGGATACAATTTTCTCTTTCGATGGAGTCTGCGACGAGATGAAAGGGCTTGAATTCCGTGCACAGAATACTCAATACACCTGTAACGAGTATCAACCGCATTCGTTCGGAACTTTTTTTTTTTGTTGCTTTTCGACTGATGCAAACACGCATAATCCATTTCATCGTGCGTTTCATCGAAATCACGCTTCAACACGGTGCACGATATACGCGAGTCCACAGCAACACGCATTGTAGATTTGTTTCTGGAATATCCACGAATTGCGATCGCCTTTATTCGATATCACCGTAAACGAATCTTTAGAAACAAGTTTCTTTCCAATTCCATAGTTTGATACGTATCACGAGGAAAGGTTGACTCGCGTAAGTATCGTTCCCAAGAGCGTTCCTTTATTTTCTATAAATATTCAGTACTCGGAACATAATCGAATACAAGGGCGATAAAACGAACGGTAAAAAATCAGTTTTAGAAGAAGGGGATTGGTTTCGAATAAATCGTTTAGTAGTTTAAAACATGGAAAACTCGAGCACAATGGAAAAGTTTACGGGCAACCGTGACTGGCCTGGCCGGAGATACACATTGCCGGTGAATGGAGAACGAGTAGTTGCAAGGGTAACTGCGTGTAACGCGACCAACGGATCGCATCCAGCGTCCAGCTATTTTGCTGCCATTCGAGCGAAATAACATCCATAGAGCGACACTGTTCGCGAATGATCGACATGCCTGCTCTCTTCGCGCCATTTCCCACGCCTAAATTGTACTCTTTGAATTATACAATGACAATTCACAATCGTGAACGATCGTTTCTTCTACGCGTTATTATTTCTGTTCTATTAATTTCCTATTCCATTATCTCCAGTTCGTGGTTGTATTTATTCGCACCTATCGAGTTGTATCAACAACTGAAATTTCCAGAAAATCGTGTTTCCAATTTATATCGTAAAATTCGTTAATCGACAGCAAAATAAACAACGTTAAACATCGAAGCGTCCTCGACTGAGCGCGAAACAGATCGCAAAGTGAAATCGGAATACACCCGAAAGCTTGGAATCGTGTTACGATCTTGCAAAATTGCGAGGCAGTAAAATCGGCCGGCGAACGTCGAAGGTAGTAAATCGATAGAGAGGGATAAAGAGAAATTTAAATAAACATCGGGATTTTGGTAACACGCGAATACCACCGAGATCCGTTTGTTTTTCTAGAAAAGAATCGGACGCGTAATCGCAGATTCGATGCCGAAAATCCGATCAAAGGTTCCAAGCGGAAATCGAGAGCCGTATTGAAAGCCCGGGATCAACGGGCAAAGTTGAAACGTGGACAAGTACGTCGGTGAGCTTTTCTTTGCGATTGCTCTTCACTCTTCGGAATGACTCGCGTGTAGAGCAGTACTTTCGCAGCGGGAACTTCTCTTTCGTTAGTTTACTAGACCGTGTAGCTCGTAGACTACGCTTCGGAGCTTTCCGCCCTAGAGGCGGTTAAGACGAGTTCGCGTTAAGCGTCGTCCAAGATACACGTTCACTCTTACTTTCCACGTTTCTACACATCGAGCTGCAAAGAACAATCCTGTGATATTTTTTTCGCCTTTCCTTCGTTTCCTTATAAAACGTTCCGGCTATCGATATTCAAAAATATTATTTTACCTTCGAGGTTTCTAGGCTCGTCTGTTTCTCACGCGTTTCCTATTTATTCCGATTGGCAAACGCTGTTTGATTTATCAAAGTTCGTATTGGCAACGTTGAATCGAATCGACCGTGCTTTTATAATAGCACTGAACGATTTAACATGCTTACCGAAACGCTCGCTGGTTCTCGTTACGATGAGAATCGATAGACGAAAGTTAGTTTCTTCGGCATAGCTAACTTCCATTCTATTCTATTCCATCACATTCCATTGAAAAGTTGTAACGCACGGTGAATGAATCTTGTATATATATGTATATGTAACTCTAACAGCTTTTCAAAGTTCTGCGCTTCGTCGATCGTCAAATGAATAGCTTTCCGGTAGTAAAATCGTGCGTCATTCGATTAAAACCGAGCCGTTCGTCTGTGCGACACGCCGTAATTACGATGGAGAATCGGTCGGTCGCGAATGTGGCATATTCAGCGCGTATTTCAGCGCGTATCGAGTGAATTTCTGATCCGCATTTTGCAAAGTACGCGTCGTTCTCTCCCGGGGACGAAACCTTCACGGAACGTTCTCGTTCCTCCAGAGGAAATTTAAAAGGTCCCAGGTAGCGTGGTCTGTTTAAAGTTTCCAGCGATGCACGAGCAAAGATGCGCAACCGGCTACAGTAGCCGCGTAGCGTGTAACGCGAACCACCGATTCGTTACTCCACTTATTTCCACGAAAATTAATTTTGTCTCGGAACGTTATATGTACATAGTTGAATTTTCTCGACGACGTGTCTCGACTTTCCTCGAAATTCCCATTGACTCTAGACAAGTGACGAAATTGTACGACCGTTGTCTCGAAAATATCGCCGGCCAACTGCCCGGCTACTGCTTCACTTCGCTTCTCTTTCTTCGGCCAATTTATCCAGATTCTTGGTAAATTTTATTTCTGCAGCTTCTCAATGGCGAATAGAATAAAGTAGAAACACCGAGAGACTGGAAAATCCAGGTATCCGCGACCCCGTGAATTTATTTCACGTCGGACTTCGCTGCAACGAACCTTCCTCTGCTCGTTTGCATTTTCGGTCGTGTTCCGATAAACAGAAAATGAGCTACATTAACCGGCACTCTCAGAGGATTCGATCTCTTCTCGCTCTTTCACCTTTCCGCCTATCAACACAACACAAAACGTTTTCGCTTACTTAAAACGATTTTAACGTTAAATTGTTTTCGTAACTGTCCATTTCGATATTCCGTTAATTCAAATTTTCCAAGTGAAAAACGATATTTCCGCTGCACTCTCGGTAATGCCAAATTCGGAAATGCCAAAGTAGCCAACCTAGCATGGAACATTTTGGTTGCATTAAATTTTCCCCACTTTTTCCCCGTTAAAAGCATCATTTACACGGGGTTCTCGCGTAACGGGCAAATGCATTCATTTCGAAAGATTTTTCTTGAGCGGAAAAGCCGTACGTTCGAGCAGCGTAGGTTGTATTCTACGGTCTTTCCGCCGAAAAGGGGTCAAATAAGTTCACAGCCAGTATCGGATAATCTATATCCCGGAGGCTCTCCCGGAAATTAATTTTGCTCTCGAATCTACTAATCCATCTTTGTTCCTCTCTTTGGTCCATGTCCTTTTTTTCCAACCGACGTTTCTTCTTTCTTTCGCGACTCTGCCGAAAATACTTTCGTAAGAAGAAGAATATCTTGCTCGAAAAATAACTGCCTCTCTCAAATTTGCAAGCATACAAAATAATATCAATGTATTTCGTTAACATCGTTGGTGGCGTGACATTTGCACACTGATCATCGATCGCCAAATTTGTTATATTTCAATGCGTTGTTTACAGTTTCGCTTCTTCTAATTTATATCGTCTGGAAGAAGCCAAGAAATATGGACAGATGCGACTCGAACGTAACCGACAGTCGTAAAACCCCAATCACGACCGGATACGACAAACAGAACGACCGATTTTCCGCTCGAACGTCATCCGAAACGAAAAAAATCTGATATCGCAAGATGGTCGAATAAGTAACTGGTACAGAGCCAGGCAAGTTTCCGAGAAAACAGGCACTTCGAGACGCGAATTTTCTCTCGGTCACCACATAAGATGTCGCGTCTCTGTCATTCTCGAGCTGGAACTTTCGAAGAACATCGGGAACGTTCTAAAAGACTAAGAGACCCAGCGGATGACTTTGCTCTGGCTTCGTAATAAAATTATTTGAATCTCGTTGGATGGTGCTGGCCCATCACGGCTAACTACCACGGAGTTCTTTCTCGACGATGAGGGACATCGGATAGTCTGGTCGCTCACCGTAGGATCTTATTTCGTTCGATCCTACTTCGTCCCACCGTTCCTATTATCCCTTCCATCCGAATGTACGCTTTATCACCGTTCCAGTCAACTTTTATCTCGTCCAACTTTCGATCTTATCCGGTACAACCCGTTTCTGTTTATTTCGCCGTTCCTTTCGGCGTTTAATTAATTTAAAAACGAAGGTTCGCTCCATAGATTTGGCCGAAGTGCGATACTTTTTTCAAACTGACAAGAGAGGACGCGTAGTTTTAAACGATCTGGCGTTTCTAATCGATAAAACAAGATAAAACGCCACTTGACTCGTTCGTGGTTCAAATTGCCTACGTAAAGTTATAGTGTAAGGACCACTGAAAAGCACCTATCTCGACTAAGATCCATTTTGCAAAGCTCGTTTTACCTCAGTCAAGGCATATATAAATCGAATTTCTTGTACCTCGAAAGAAAATGTGTGTCGCATTTTCCTGAGAGGTTCTCGCGTCTTCTTACATCGCGAGTCAACCATGCTTTTACCTTACTACGCGCTGCAATGATACTCTTTATCGATATTTTATTATTTGGCAAATTGGTTTTTACATTTTCCTAGAGAAAGTCAGTGTTCCACGTATTTTACGTTTATTCGCCAAACACGAACATCAATCATTACGAACTATCTTCACGAAATAAACTACTTTAACCTCGACTTATCCGGGCTGTACGTTGCAATCTACCTGTTGTAACCGATCGTCCAATATTTGGCAACGCGTAACAAGTATGTAACAAGTTCGAAGAAGGTACGAACGATCGATACGCGACATGTCAATAATATCGAAAGACATCGTGCCACGCGTCGATATTATCGGTAACGATAGCTGATTCTAGCTGGGCTAATAAGGAATAGAATTTAATCGATGACAAGATAAGAGCGTATAATTTGCGCAGCTACGATTTTGCCAGGTTTGACGTTACTTCGTTTCTATGCCTATAACCGTTGAAGCGGATTAGGGGAAAGCAAAAATTAGCCAAAATGTCGATCAAGCCTTTTTCGCTCGTCGACGTTGAACGACCGACACCGAGACGGGTAATGGGAAGCAAACGAACGAACGTATCGACTGGAATTCTCGTCGAAAAATACCAATACGGAAATGAACGGTGTAGGAGCTGTCAGAGTAGACAAAATCGGTCTGTTGACGCTACTCTTGCGTGAGAATCGTCCAAGGTTTCGTTTTCTCGTCGAATAAAATATCGCAGATGAAACGATCGATCGTTACGGCGATTACACACGTACAATATGTAGATATATCGAACGAGGAACGCGCTCGAATCAAACATTATCGAGCGTTCTCTTTTACCAATGGAGCAACTTACGAAGCTTCTGGAGAGAATCGATTAACCGGCTCGGTATCAACGCGAAACACACGTCCATACGGACGACAACTACACGTATAGCGAGGAAGCGTATTCGAAGGAGAAAGCACGTTCGTATCTGGCTTGATCCTCTACAAATCGCTATTTTCTATCGATCGTGTACGGCTCGCCGGCTACTTTAATCCAGCAGCGTTTGCGTCGAGCAGGGACGATACGGAGAATCATTATTTTCGTTAACGCGCCACTTTGTCCGGACGAATCTTGAACCGGTTAGGTTAAGTGGCGAACCATGCTGGCAAAATCCGACGGTAAACCGAGGCTGCGTCGTGCCGGCACGGCGGCACGGTACGGCCGGAATTACGCGCGTCGTTTTACGTTTCGTAGCGTCACGTCATAAATGCGAGTGGGATGGTTCTACGGTACCGATCGCCCTATAAACGCCTCGTAGTCTAGCTTGTATCGTCGATTCACTGCCTCCGATTCGTTCTATGGATGAACGATCAAAGCGAATCCGACAGCTCGGTTTCATCGTCCTCATAATCCGCCTAGATTAAACAAAATGACTCCGAACGAATCGCGCGATATCGCCCGGATCGAGCCAGCGATCTTTCGTCTTTCCGGCTTTTTCCTCTATCCTCCGCGGATCGGTCGACCGACCGATTTATTCACGTATCCGTCTCTTTCTTCCGATATCTTTCCAGCAACGCGTTTTATCGTCGCCCTAGCGCATCGTCTTTCGCTCGAACATCAGGAAAACGTTGGTAACTTCGATTCTTTTTCCACGTGTATATAATATCCGCGAAAGCAACGGAATCTGACTGAGAGACGAGATTTTTAACCGCGATGAGTTCAATGGTCGATTTTTCGTTTTCGAGATACGGCACGCGGTCGTGCGGTAGCGGATAAACAAACGATAACAAACAAGACCGAAAGCAGGAAAACAAGCACGGCAATGGCTGGTCGATTTTCAACTGGAAGGAAGCACGGAGATAAAACGGTGAAAAACAGCATTCGAAAACCTGAAGATTGTCCTTTTAGGAATGAATTCAATTACGATTAAATCACGGTGCGCCACGAGATCGGATAGCTGCGCGATCGTTCTGCTTAAGTAGCGCCACCGAGCCAGACATCGAATCAAGAATTTTACTTGGAATAATTGGAATCGCTTTATCGGGAAAACAGGGGCGGTATCGAGGAAAGTTGGAATCACGGCTTTCGGTTCGATGGCCGCGAGGAAGCCAAATCGTGTCCGGTCAGATTCTAACGAATTCCCATCAACACCGGAACTGATACGATATAAACCGTTTACCTGGAAACGCGTTGCGACTGTTGCGAGCGATCGATCGCTCGCTGCCAACTAATTTGGCATTCTTTGGTTAGCTTGCGACACACAGAAAGACAAACAAATGCGTGTTTCGCGCTCTGGCCAACCATTTCGCGCGCTTGAAATCTCGCATTGGTCGTTTATTCGGTCGGCCCAGTTGGTTTAGTTTCAACAATTATGTATACCGCTATTTATCCGGCATATTTTTTCAGGATATGGTGTTTTTTTTACATCCGTGTGGCGGATAATGGAAAAGTCGAACCGTCGAAGATTTACGGACTCGACTAACTACGATTTCTTTCGATTCTAAACTATATATCTCCGTATTACTCGGTAACTTTTCGTTTTCGTCGTCGACAAAAATTGCTTGCGTCCTTAAAAACATACGGTAGAAATTAAAGAGACTTCGTAGGTGCGAAGTTGGTCGACATTGCGAGAGTAGAACTGATATTTATACCGAGAAAGCGTCGATCATGGTCCGGTATTATCGTAAGACGAATTACGTTATGACTATGGATGAATGCCGCAAATTTTTGTAATCTTCGAACATCGTGCGTAGTAGGTTTGTAGTACGTAGTACGTTTTGCTTCGCTCGTCAAAGGATAGTTCACATGTCGAATAGCGAAAAGTTAACAGAGAACGATCGAGCGTTCTCTTGGTACAGTTGTAGCGATTATTGCGGGTTTTTTACGTACACGGCGATGTTAGTTGGCGAAGAAAAACCGTTGCAGCTTTCCACGAAACTAACTCTACAGTGAGAATCACGACGCGAGGTTCGAGAAGAAAAGAGAATGCGGTCAAAGATATACGAGAAGTTGTTATTTGCGCGTTAAATCGTTCAAGCGTTTCTTTCTCTTCTTAACACGGAATACGTATAAACTTTCTTCCGCACGACGCCTTGGACGATTGTATAACCTAACCCGATGACAAATTCCAAGAAGAAACGCGAAACGTTTACTACGAAGTGTACTACAAAGTAGCTTATTACTTATTACAGACGACGTTCTTAACTTTTAAAGCAATTAAAAAGAAATAAGCCGAGAGAGGAACCACGACTGTTATTCTCTTCCTCTCTCGAGTGAAAACGCAACGAAACGAAGCTGCGATACAGTTTTAAACGATCACGGATACAAAGTAGAAAATTGGGCGATTAAAGTTAATTTGAAAAGTGATTTTAAAGCGGTAGTAGAGGAATAATTTCGCTATGACAGATATATTATTCGCCAATTAAAAGAATATTCAACGTGGGAATATTCTTCGCGGTGGAATAAAGTAATCGACGAAACGCGTACTCGTCGTTGAAAGTGCGTAAACCGAACATAGTAGAAGATGGGGTTCGGTCGGAGACGCTTAGAAACGCGAGAGATGGAAATACTCGTTGGTAAGTACGTTCGAAATTAAATAGATGGTTGAATAGAGGGTTAGGTGTAGCTGTGGCTCTGGTACGGAAGTACAATCTCATCTCCCTATCAGTCAGGCTGGAGTTCATCAAATCCAATCGAACCGAAAGATATAGGAGAGCTCCACCCTGACGCGCGCGAGCTCGCGCGGCCTGAAACGTTGTGTCAAAGTGTGGCAGGGATGGAAAGGAATATCATGAATAATACAAGATACTGGGTCAGTCGGTAGAAAAACGATCGATTTGCAATTCAAACGGCAAGCGTTCGTCTTACATTAAATGGAAAGAATTGCTTATTCGTTCTAACGCGTTCAAATTATTAGCACTTGGTAAGAAGAATGGAAGGAACGGATATGCGGGATGGAAGAAAGCCGTTCCTCTGGTTTCGTATCAATTTTAAATCGCTCGATTCGGCCGAAATTTGAAATGCAAATATTCCCAGCAAGATACCGGCCAACAAGCAGAACTTCGTTACGCGACGAACGCTCTCGCGACGTTATTAAAATCTTGATTACCGGGGACGTCGATTCGTACAATAATAAATTTCGCCAATTATGCCGCGTGCTCGATCGCGAAGTTGCCCGTCTTTCGCGACTGTTCCGAAACTGTGTTACGAGAGAACCGCGTTACGAAAGAATCGCGCGACGACAGGGTCGTTCGAGTTTCTACTTACCAAAAGAAATGATAAAACAGACGAGTATGGGAAGAGAAGTAGACATCGCTTTTCCTCGACGAGGTTCTTTCACATATTGATATACTATCTCACACGCATTTCAATCGTTTCACCGAATAGCGCATCCTTACCGGCGATAGTTTGCTAGCACTGATAGTTTTTCGATCGCGGTGACATTTTACGCGGCCTTTCCTCGAGGACCGATCAATCGTTGTCCGTGCACGATCGCTTCTCAAGATCCTTTTTTTCTCCCGCCACGCGTTATTCTTCTACAGTGGCATGATCTTCGATAACGTCGATGACCCCTACGATCTTTCAAACGTCACTGACGCGTTCGATTTATCCTTTCGTTACGAACAATGCCGAACACGGCTCGACGAAATCACACAGTCGCTTTCTGCAGTGCTGCAACTGTATGTTTTCGGTGCTGCTGCAACTTGACCGAATTTACTCGTTTTTTTCTTGGCTCGTTGGTTCGGTGTTTCTCTCCTCCCCTTTTGGAGAACAAAAAGCTCCGCACCACGGTGCTGCTTCGGATACGTAGGAATTCACGAGCAAGTTATTCTCCGCGGCAGAGCTGCGGCAGAAAATGTAACGCTACGCGAACGTTACAGCGTTATAGCGCGCGAACCGCTAATGAATGTAATTAACGGCTGGAGTATTTCGTCTCGTTCGAGGCTGGTGTAGCATTAGTTTGTACTCGTCTCAGATCGGACGCCTTTATGCCTCTCACCGCATTCACCACCGCAAAGTCGTTCGCGATGCATTAGGCGGCACTCGTTAAAGTAATTTCCCTGACGCGTTAGACATTCCATCGATCATTCTTTCTCGCGATTTCACCCAGTGCACCGCCGTACCGCTGCATTCTCCCAAATCGCCTATCGCTTCCTTTCCGTCAATTTGTTCGCCTCTTAATCGAAATTTAATTATCCTGTTTGTTCGACGCGAACATTTTCCAGAGACACGAAACGCGCGAAGGAGAAAAATCTGACCACAGATTTCTCACGCCGTCACATAGCGCGAGCGAACAGATATCGAACGAGAAACTGTGTCACAGAAACGCTCGGATAAACCAACACCGATTCACCAACACCTTTGCAACTTCGATGCCGTGCTATGAGATTGCAAGAAGAAAAAAAAATGGTTTCGCGCGATAGGCGAAACGACACCCTTTTTAATCGACTACGCGTAAAAATCACTCGAACGTTTCGTTGTGTGGAGTACGCGCGTGAATTACCGCTTCGCTCCGTTTCGCTTCGCTTCGACGCGACGGATTTTCAACGATTAAAAATCGAAGAATCTTTGGGGCGATAAGTTCAGCCGGAACAGCTGTCGAGCCTTCTCAAGATTTATCGCTTTCATAATAGATCGGCAATGTTCGCTCTTGCTAGATGCTTGGTCGGAAGTACCGTCGCAGCTTCGATTCGAAGATCCAAGGAATTTTTCTACCGCGGGGGCAGAGAAAATTTAGTCGTGACGAGACGTACGTGCTGCACGTCGAGATCCTGGTCGCTCCATTCAGCGTGAAACGTGACGGAACGACGTTCGTGCCAAGTTCGATCGGCCCACGAACGATAACCGTACGTCACCCAGTTTCGTTCACGAAGCTCCGGCAGTGTTACGAGTCTTTTATGCAGACCAGCCGATTGTTCGCCAGAAGTTCGGTCTCGACCTCCGAGCCAGAAATTCGTGACCGACTTGCAGTATGCCACGGCAAGCCACGATAGATTTTCAGCGCGTTTCGAACATCTTCGACGTTCGAAGTATCGAAATCTTCTACCGGTTTACAAGTATCTAACGGTAAATGCCTTAATCCGGTTGCCTGTGACGTTCGCTTCTAAACTCTGTAACGAGTCGAATATTTTTATTTCAACTCGTGTTGCTCGAAGCGGTTCGACGATGTTCCATCCTTGAGAGTCACAGTCCGAGTGACGTTTGTTCGTTCAAAAATTGGGCGCGTATGGAAACGGTAGAGACGAGCGTTTCGAACGCAATGCATCCAAGGCTAAACGCGCGTCGCATAAACCACTGTGTCCTCGTCAGGACTGCATCCATGTCCCATTGACTGGTCACACCGAAGAAGGGGGATCACAAGTCACCGGTTACGTCACCACAACACATCTCGTGGATCGATTTGTATCGGCGGTTCGCAAACGTATTCCGGAATCGCGCGGATGTATCCCTGTCGAGCGATGCGGTACGCGTTAAAAGTCCTGCGATACGAGTAACGGACGAGCAAGGACGACGCGATCGCGATCACAGCGGTGCGACGGAAACCACCGATTCTGCGCGTCTGTCTATCGGAATTTCGACGTTTCGGATAAGATCTTGCGACGAACAGCGTGTCGGATGTTTGACGTTTTCACGGAACGCGCGCGACGGCAGAAGGTCGCGGTTGTTTCGAAACGACGATGCTCCCGCGTCAAGGATAGCCGAGGGACTACATTGCGCGAGCGCCGCTTGAGCTTCAAGCACGCAGCCGCCCCGTGCAGCCTCTCCGAACTCCTCTATGCCACCGCCAACACCGTTACACGATACCTGTACGTGTTTCCTTCCTGGCCAAGTATGCGTGAGCGCGCGTGCGCGCTTACCTGTGTCGCGTGTCTATAGCTTGCTTATATATCACCCCGTTTGCCCACCCAGCCACCACCCTTTTTCCTCCTTCGCTCCTTTCTTTCTCTTCTTCCTCCATGCTTCTTCTCTTTCTCGCCATCTCTCTTACTTTTCCTCCGGTATTGTGCATTCAACCTTGCTTCTTCCTCCTACTCCGCCTCTTCTTCCTCTTCTTCTTCTTCTTCTTCTTCTTTTCCTTTTTCTTCTTCTCTTTTTTCTTTTTCTCTTTTTCTTTCTCCTTTTTTCTTCTTTTCTCTGCTTTCCTTTCTTTTTTCCCCTTTTCTCCGTTTCTCTCGTTTCTGCGACGTCGGTTATCCTTCTTCCGCTTTTTCTTCTTCGTCCTTTCGCAGCAGTTAAGGAACGCTTTCGGCCCTGTTTCTCGCGAACTTAGGTTCCTCAGCTCGCAATTGTAATGGCGACAACAGTTGTAGGGAAGGGTATAGTGGTATGACTCGATGGACGTGTAAAAAAGTATGAAACCGCTTATAAATTAGAAGGAATATAGTTCAACGAAATCGCGAGAAGGCGAAGCCCTGAGCTGCCGCTAGAAAAATCTCGCTCGAGCAAACTTTACCACGAGTTCTTGATTTTCGTTTCCAGATAATCTGGAATTTATAAGCGATAACAGAAAATTTGTCGTCGCGTGCATTTTCGCTACGATTATTATCCGATTTCAATTCAATTCGATTAAAATATGAAAAGTATCGAGGACAGTTTTCAAAGAATTTTCGGGCGTGTTCTAAAAATTCCACAAATATTCTCCAAGTTAACTACCAAGTTAACAAAGTTAACTACCGCAAGATCGCTTTTATTTACATGTTCGTTCAGCGACTGTCGTTCCACCAGAGTTCCACCGGACAGAAAATGCGAATGTGCGGATCCGTCTATGCCAGATCCACCTGTATATTTCAAAAGTGCCGAATAGTCTGCGCGTTTCTTCCCCAAAAGAAATTCATCGTTTATCAAACATTGGCTGTTAATTCGACCAACTTCCTCCGACTTCTAACTCGTACTATCGACAAACGCCACAACTTTTCATTTTCTCCAACGAATCGTTTCTTCGCGGCAGAAAGTGGTAACGTCTTGTACGCGTTTAGAAACTTCAAAAAATAGCTTTTTACGTCGAACGGAAAATTCGTGCGGTGAACTGCTCGTACTTGAAAACGTGTTTCGTACGTGGCATACGGTATTACTTGCGCTTGTGCTACGTGGTAGTCGATGGATCAAAACGCGTGACAACTGTTACGGAACTATATAGAAACGTGTATTTGTTCGTGTTGTAGGCACATACTTACATGGAAACACGGATGCATTCGCCGCAACAGTGGCGAGTTTGGTCTAGTACGGTTCGTCTAGAGTCTAGAAACCGACCAGCATAATTTTCCATTCGATGTAAAACCGTTGCTCCGAGTTTCTACGCAATTTTTACGTTTGTTCATGCTAGAACAAAACATCGACGAGTAGTCGATACGCTCGTGAATTTCACTCACGGCTGTGTGCCAGCACGGAGGAAGCCGACTGGCGAGCATTTTCTCGTTGGCCTTTATGCCAGTCGAATTTATCGAGTGATATCTAACTGACCTATCTTACCGAAAACCACTATCGACGATAGTAGCATCTGTTATTATAAGTATAACGCGAGGATTAAATTTAACGGTTGCCCAAATAAATTTGAAAATAAACAACGAAAGATCTGAAATATGTATAAAACGTACATGTACATGTGAATAGAAGTGTTCACACGATGATCCTCGCAAGACGCAGCATCGCGATATTTTTCGTATAAAGACGACAGACGAAACATTAAAACAAATGGCGATATTCACACGGTACGCGGCTTGCGATACGTGTATCGCGATACGAATATCTCCGTGTGAAACTGGCCTTAATTTACGCGACGATGTCGCTCGTGCAACTTAAAATGAGATCGTGTTTTCATCGCGCATTTACGATTCTATGCAATTGTACGAACAAACGCATCGATTTTCATGAAATCTGTACGTTCGACCAGATTTAAGAGGACTATCGGTGCTTGTCAGCTTCGCCCGGTACAGCGCGCTCCATTTGTAAAAGAAAACATTTACACGTCGCTTGCGAATCCAATTTTCTCGACATACGTAACTACTACTTCGTGTAACGATCGGCGATTCCTTATTGAAAAAAGATACACTTTCGTCGAGTTTGCGTCAAGTTACGAGAACAGTCTCGAGAACTTCGCGCGTTACTCGTAGAACGTCGAGTCCACGAAAAACGTGCTCGCCGAAAGATAGAACCATCCGAGACTCGTATTTTGCGCTGCACACCTACGTTTGCACGCTCTTCTATTATATACCCTCTTGGGAAGCCCGCGAATTCGCAAACGAATCGTTAATTCTGAAATTGAAAAGACTTCGATGATAATAGGATATAGCGATGACGAGGAACTTTGCTATTTTATAATTTGTCGTCGCATCGTGGGAGAATGAATAAGAAAAAAAAGAGAGGAAAGCGAGGAAAGAAGAGCGGAGAGACCTAAAGAGGGAAAGAAAGAGATCAATGGATACAATTCTCGCGTTCTAGATTCCAAGTATTTGCAGCGTTCGCCGAATTACACAAGAGAGAATGGTGGGAAAGTTTAACAGATCGAGAGTGCTGCTTCGTCAGAAATCGTCAAAATTCGAGTCCAGAACGAGTCGAAGACGTTATTTTACTTGCACCAATGTTTCAGTCTCGTATAGACCTGACAAACGGCGCATTCACTCGCGGCCGATGCTTTGTTTTATCTCCGTCGGTCCCTTCGTACGAAATTCTGATAGGCAACGGTGCGACGCTAAATAACCTCTGATAAATCACTTTGGCCGAATGAAATTCAAATTAATTCGATCTAATTTCCAGCAGCTATATAACGTTCATTCGTTACGTAATGTCATCCGATGGTTTTCGTGAAAGCAAGACGCGTGTCCGCTGTTAGAATAATCGGATAACCAACCAACGAAAATAAATCTACAGTTTTTCAGCTAAACGATACCACAAGTGCCAGTGTTTCAACGACAGGCTATGTTTTAACTAAAATAAATCCGGAGAGACGAAAGCGAGAACAATCTCGGGATGGTTGAACGTTAATTCCTAAAGGAGAAACTTGTAACGCGTTCCAAGTAGCATCGAAGCAGCGAGAACGTTGCGCGAAGTATGTATGCGATGTATATACGCACCGAGGTTAGGATCGACCCGATATTTTCGATATCGGGCAGGGGTTATACCAAGCTGGCACACTGAACCGCTTTAGGAAGGAAATATGGGCCAGATTTCCTCCGCGCTTTAAAAACAATTGTACACGCGATGGATTTTTTCCCCTAAACGTGTAAAAATCCTTTTCCCTTCCTTTCTTCGTTTTATCTTCGTCCGGCCTTACGTTTTCTTTTCCATTTGGAAAATTTTCATTTCTCGTCGTTGCGTTACTCTTCCACGGTCATACGACGGACGTCGTTATTTTCTTCCGACTTTTCTCAAAGTTAATTGAATTCATTCGTTCCGTCTGCTAAAGTAGCCGGTTCCTTATTCTTACTTAAAGATGGATTGCTCGAATGTCCGTCAGAACGGCATCCATTAACGTCGAGCGGAAGAATCTTTCTTATTTTCAACTTCGCTTCAAAGTTTTCGCAAAAGATAACTTACGTTACTTGTAACGAACATCGTAAAACGTAGAGTCGAATCTGTACAGTTCCACGCTCCGCTATAGTCAAACGATATATTTTAAAATTCCTCGAGTTATCACGGACGTATGCGACACTCGAGATATTAACAAATTGAATTATTAACGATAACATGCACGGGATTTTCTACGCTTTAATTACGAGGGTCGTAGCGCGCAGGACGAAATTGGTGTACCTCCCGTTTTAATCTTCCCCATCTAATCTTATCCCTCTCCTCGCACTCTCCGGTCGGTTAACAATATCTGTCTGTTAGCTCGCGGGTGTGCTTAAGTTCGTATCAGTTAATTAATTCATTGCACGAGTCTTGTCCCATTCTAGACAGTAAGCCTAATTTACCTGACGAAAGAGAAGTTGAAGGGGTCTCTCCGGGGGTTCAGTATGCGTGTCACCAAACGCTTCCGCCTCTGTCTGTTGCCGTTGTTTTCGTTTTCGATCGCTGTGCAATGTTTTCAAAGAAGGAATTATCTGCTTCGCGCATTTTCGTTACGACAGCAGAGTGGTACGTGTTTCGAAATTCGTGCGGCGTGATTTTAGGATCGTCAACATCGCGTCGTATTTAACTGTAACTGCGTTTGACCTAATGGCCGATCCGAGGTTCGTGGTTGACATCGTACGATACGATCGGAATATCAGTTTGAAAAATCAGCTGCTCCGTTCGAACGGTACGGTATCGTAGTAATATCACTTTTAGTCAAAGTGCAAAGATTTTTCAGTTCTTTCTTTCTTTCTTCCCTACTTTCATCGCGATCGAATGAAATGTAAGAATACGCAAATAAAGAGAAAAATTCGTTTCTTTTCGTTCGTTTTGTAGGGAAGCGTGCTACGTACGGCTCACCGTATAATAACGTTATCTTCGTGCAAATAATTCTTTTCATATCGACATATGTATTCGGAGAATACGTGGTTGAGAGTAGTGCGAGGATAAAGAAGCAAGAAGTACTATGTAAAACTATAGCGAAGTCGGACTGTATGTCGTATTGTACTTACCGATAATCACATTAAAGTTGGCAAACTTATAGTTCAAGCGATTAAAACTTTGTCGTATATTTCGTTGACAGATATTTTTTTACGAATAAGCGATAAACGATACGATTGTTTAGATAGAAAAGTTTAGTTGCAGGCGTAATTCAAAAAAGAAAACATTCACG